TATGATCACACTGGTATAATTCTCTTAAAGCCAAAAGAAGTAAAAAAATAAAATAAAATCTTACTTATCTAAATACTGGCTTCAGAAAAAGAGCATGTGAATAATGTAAAGGCAGGTGGGGGGGGGAGTTACATTTTATGTCCTTTGTCACAGGACTCTATTTCCCTTTAAAAAGTAAACCAAAAACCTTTTTTTTCCCCTTAGGAAAACTGATGCACTTTGCAATCAGCTTCAGGACAGTGACAAGTGAGGGGACAATGACAGAAAGATAATGTGTACAAACCATTAAAAAAAAATTAACTTGTTTTCACTTGATATTCTCAAAGCCATTTAAGAAAAGGTCTCATACCAAACACACCAACAAATGTGATTAGCAAAGAAACCTATTTCTATTAATTCAATTACATTATATCCTTGGGAGTACAGCTTTTCCGGCAAAACATGTAAACTGGATAAAGTTAAGAAAAAGGAATCACCTTCTGCCTCATAGTATGTACATGCATCTTGAATACATATTCTGCCTAAAGGGGAGTTAAGCTTCCAAAGTGGAGAAAGAATGTTTAAAAAATGACCTACAATACAAATGATCATTTCCATTACTACCTTATAGAGCTGAGGACACCTCCTGGGGAAGGGGGAAAGAGAATAATGGAAAGAACAACCGATTTTAAGTATCAGTTTCCTTCTTATCACCATTAATTCAAAGGGCTAGTAGTATACAACTGCAAAATCTTTGTTCCTGAAGAACAGATTATGTCAACTTAAGTAAAATCTGTTTGTTTCCGATACTGATGACTGTCAACAATGCTCAAGAAAAAAAAAAAACACCTAAAATTTTAATAAACTTATACAGCAAGAGTCCTCTCAATACCAACAAACAGCCACAGTTTTTGAAACAAAGCTTTTGTAGACAGCAAGATTTCTCCCTTGGAAAACAATTTTGAAGCGTAAGAAAACGGAGGGTATGATATGATACTTTCTATACTAAATGCATGATAAATGGAGACAAATATTACATGGAAAAATGTTAACTAGTAAAGCAAGTTTTAATTTAAAATGTTTTTCCCCACATTTTTAAGGGAGAGGAAGAGAAAATTGAGGTCAGAAAATCTATTATCATCCACCCAGAAGAACATAAGAAAATGATAATGTGTTTTTCAAATGAGTAACGCAGAATGTAACCTTACATGTTTGCTCACTTCTTCTGAGCCACACACTAATTTTTCAGATATTCACAAAAGATTTAGGCTAGTTTTACTTATAACCCATACCATACATTTTTAATTTTCCTGTCAGAGGCTTCAACCTCCCTCTGCCTAAAAAATAAAAACTCAAAATCTGATTTTAAAATCCCTAGTTCTCTCTTTTCCCCATCTGGGATTTTTAAATCTAACTGATCTCATTTGTCGCCTTATTTCCAAACTGCAATACTTTATAAAAACATAATGTGCATTCAAGCACCTTTGTTCCAACTCTCATTTTCATGACAAAGAAAGTTTGTCTGTTTGTTTTTAATGAAAAAAATTTGCTGTAGTAACTACTCTTTCCCATGGATGGTCGCAGGATTCATTCAGTTTGGAAACTTTTCTCGAGAGAGAAAGAGAGCAGTTTAAGACTTGAAGACCTCGGTTTTATGTGCAATCATCTCTATCTTCAACGAAAGATTGTTAAGTATTGGAAACATCCAAGTGAAATTACGTCCTTAAAGTGAGTGGTCTAACCTAGAACATATTCACAACTTCAAGAAAGCAATCATGTGAAGATACTTGAAGCCTGACAATCCACCCCACACCCACCCCGCATAAAATAAATCCAAAACCCAAAAAGATTGTCCAGAGTCAAAATATAGGGTAAAGGTTAACCTGGCATAGAATTAAAATGCTCAATCTAAAGCATTCCAGTTTTAATCAACTAAGAAAATCTAGCACATATAAATTCCAAATTTGTAACTAGCCAAATAAAAATTCTCTGACAAGCAAAATTTTTAAAGCCTCCTTTTAAAATACATTCTGAAATAGAATTCCTAAATAATCATTTGAAATTTCTAATTATCGGAAAATACATCTACTATACAGGATCTTGCTTAATTACGAACATGAAACTTACAGTTTTATCTAATTTGTTTTTCCATCAACCACATGGAATAGGAAAATGTAATTCCTAACCATAAACTGAAATCATGATTAATTTGTTTTGGACAATGACAGACCACAATGGGGTAAAAGCAAGTTGCCAAATTTTCAGAATTCAATCATCTGGCCCAAAAAACATGATGCATTTCAAAAACCAGTATTTTTTTTCAAGTCAAATTAAGTTTATAATGAGGCTAACAATTACAGGAAGCCGCTTATTCCACACTAAGGAATAGCCCCTTTTCCTGCATGTTTGTACTGGTCTGATAAAAAAACAATCAAACTTCCTAGTCATTATGCTGTCCATTTTAAACATCCCAGCTACCACACAGAGGCAATCCTTATGCTGGGGAGTTGAAAAAACTAAAACTCAAGATGGACCAAGATAAGAGATGGAGTAAACCATACGAAATGGGAAAAAAAAAAAATTAGAATTTATCATCCTCAGCTAGTGGTCTCCAAGACTTAAAATGCAATGGTTACTCTTGCCAACCACAGAGAAATGAACAAACAAACCTTTGTTAGATCTAGATGACATAATTGGAATTCTAGATTTGGAAGAGTAAAAATTACTGAAGGCAAGAGTTAGAAACTTTTTAACAGAGAAGTCTAAATTATCATCTAGAGACTTTAGACGAACATTGTAACACAAAGAAAAACCTTTCGTAACTAACCAGAGGAACCCAAATTACCTGCCTTTAAATGGTAGGTATGTAAAGTGAAAAGATTTCTGAGTTTTTCTTACACTCTAGTGCCATTTGATTGAACTGAACGTTTCAATTCAAAGAAAGCCAACTTTAATTAACCCTAAATATCGTGAAGACCTATTTTCATTTCAACGTCTATGAAGGATTCTTTCGAAACAAATACACTTAAGAAAACTAACCTTGACAGAAACTTTTGCAATTACTACTCAAACTCTAATCTTACCAAGGCAAAACCGCGTATTATTTTTGAAATGGGACCAAAGTTGTCCCCGTAATTTTAAAGGAAGTGCTTTCAATGTTTGCAAATGTATTATGTATTACATATACAAGAAGTGTGGCCACAAAGGACCCATAAAATGATCGACTGTGATTTAAATTTCAGCCAAATTTAATCTAGATCAGATAATTGAGTACGTTACACATTTTGCTCCAAACAGTTCTCGTTTAAAAAAAATAACTGGCGCCCCTTAGCGCTCACATTTGGAAATACTCAATTTAAGAGTTCCAGCAATTTTTTTTTTCCTTGACATTCCAGAAAGTTTTCTGCCTCCACAATCTTTCAAATGCCAACACAAATAGAAAAAAACAGAACCCCTTAAAGGGACAGCTCAGGTTTTTCCCGGAGCAAGGTGAAATGAACAGATTTGCGGCTCCGACGGCGGCAAAAGCCTCTTCCTTGATAAAGGGTACGGCCGCTGCGTTTCACGCAGGGAAGCAAAACGGAGGACGCAGCAACACCGAACTGTTCGCACTCTGAAAGTTGTTTCTGGACTTTCCGGACCACAGGAGCTCCTGGGTTCCTCCTCTAACCATCTTTCATCACGGAGACATTTCCGGCCTTTTGTTCTTGACGGACACTCCGGCTCTCTAGGCTTCAGGTGCCTCTGGCCTCCTTCTATAGCAAAGATCTCACAATTCTTGCGAAAAATCCCAAATCCATTGTTCAGTTCTATAAAACACAGTTTCCAGCTTTCTTTCAACAGTCCTCCACTGATACTTCTGAGAGAGAGGGGAAAAAACAAACAACAACTCCTGGCTACTAGATTTTCAAAACGGACTTTCTCGTGGGTCCTGTTTTCCTCTCTCTCCAGGCGTTCCCAGAAATGCACGGACGCTACAATTTTTCACAGTCCGGGGCGTTGTTAACAGAAACTTGTGCGAGAGATTCCAGAGGGGACCAAAATTTAATCTTCCGGTCATTCTTCGCGGCCCCCAGGTCTCCACCAACGGAGCGGTTCTCCCCCCGCCCCCCCACCCCCAAACTCTCACTCTTTTTCTTTTCGCCCTTCCCAACGCCAGGATTTCCTGTCCTACAAAGTAAGGCAGCGGCGTCCTCGGGAAAGACTCTCCGCCGAAGTTCTCTCCAACTCGGGACTCCGTGCGGATTCGTCCTCGCGTTATTTCGGATTCACCCCCCCCCCCCCCGCGCCCGAAGTGAAGTTAAACTCACGAACACTTCTCGCTTCCCCAAACAAAAGGCCACAAAGTGCTTTCCGCTGTCACCGTGTCCCCGCCTTCGGCCACCCCGGCGGGACTTTGGGTCTCGCGTGGAATTCCTGGACTCGATCCGGCCGCGCGCGCCTCCCCTCGAGGGTCGGCAAGCGCCCCAAACTCCACCAACGCAAAGGCGCCGCGGAGCCCTCGGCTGGGGGGCCGCCGGCCTGCTCCGGGAGGGCCCCCACCGGGAGCGCCCCGGGGCCGGCGTCCTTCAGGCGCCCGCGGGCCGGGCGAGGCCGGGCCGCCACCGGGCAGGCCCGCGAAGCCCCGGGGCCGTCGCGCTGCTCGCCGGCGCGGCTGGAGGCCGGGCGGGGGGGGGGGGGCACGAGCGGGCTGGCCCGGCGGCCCTGCCCCGGCGCCACCAACTTGGGCGCCGGCGGCGCGAGGCCCGGGGTCTCGGCCCCGGGGTCCGGGGGGCGGGGGCTGGGGGCTGCGGAGGGGGCGGGGGGAAGGTGGGGTCCCGCCGGCGGGTCCCGCCCGCGCCCGCGGCCCCGGCCCCGGCCCGCCGCGCCCCGCGAGCCCGGCCTCGGCGCCGCCTCCGTGCGCCCCGCCCGGGCCTCTCCGGCCCCCGGCGCACGGTCCCCGCCGGCCGCGACCTTCCCGCCCTCCCCACGCGCCGGCGGGGCGTCGGGTCCCGGGAAGAGGGGCCGCCGCCGCGACTCACCTTCGTCCAGCAGCCGCTCGAGGTGGTTGAAGATCCCGCAGAAGTTGGGCAGGCTGCTCATGAGCTTCTTGTCGTTCATCAGCTGCATCAGGTAATCTGGGGTGGGCTTCGGCTTCTCCTTCGTTTCCATTTCCCCGACCATATTCCAGGCTCCGCAGCTCACTCCGCCCGCCGCCGCCGCCGCCGGAGAGGAGGGAGGGGCGGGGAGCCCCGGCCGCCGGCCGCTCGGGACTCGGCGTCCCGCTCCGCTCCGCTCCCGCGCCGGGCGCCGGGGCGGCCGGACCGCGCGCTCGCCGCGCTCTCCCCGCCCCCGCAGGCACTTTCCGCCCGCGGCCCGCCGCGCTCCCGGCCCGCCGCCGCTCCTCGGCCGCCGGCTCGGCGCGTCCCTCACGAGGCCGCCGGCGGGCGGGAGGCGGGTCTCCGCGGGCCGAGTGCGGGCGCGGGCCGCTCGGCGCCGGACGAGGAGGAGCCGGGCCGCCGCCGCCGCCGCCGCCGCCGCTCGCTCGGCTGGTCGCGCCCGCTCAGCCGCCGCCGCCGCCGCTTCTGCCGCGGGCTCGGGGTCTCTCTCTGGGCTGGTCCCCGCCGCGGCCGCCTCTGCCGCTGCCGCCGTGCTCTGACTCCGCTCCTCCTCTTCCTCCTCCTCCTCCTCGCCGCCTCCTCCTCCTCCTCCTCACTCACTTGGCGGCGGAGTTCGCCTCAGTTCAGGCGGCGCTGCCAGCGGCGGCGGCGGCGGCGGCGCGGGGGGAGGGGCGGCGGCGCGGGGAGGGCCGGGGGCGGGCGGCGGGCGGGGCCGCGCAGGGCGGCCGTTAGCGGGGCCCCGGCCGGCGCGCTCCTCCTCCCGCCGCCGCCCCCCGCAGCCCCCGGCCCGGGTGCCGCCGCCGCCGCCGCGCCGTCTCCCTCCCGCGGGGCGGGCGGCGTGATGGCGGTGCCGCCCGGCGAGTCCGGCCTGGGCGCCGGGGCGGGGGGCGCCGCCAAGGCAGAGGGGGAGAGCGGAGGGAGGGGGAGGGCAGGGCGGCGGGGGCGCCGGGTGGCGGTGCTTTCGACTGGGGCGGGGGCAGGGGCCGCGCCGCTTCGCGCGCTCGGCCGCCGCGCCGGGCCCGTCTGGCGGGCGCGGTCGGGCTGAGGCGTTCGGGTGAGCGGGGCCGCCGGCGGGACGCCCGGGGCTGCTGCGCTCGCCGCCGCACGGCCCCATTCTCTCCTCCCGTTACTATAGTTTAAAAAAAAAAAAAAAAAACACCTCCAGTCCGTTTTCATCTCTTCCCCCTCCCCTCCCAAAAAAATTTTTTTTAACGTCCTGTTGCTTCACGGGGGACTTTCGGGGTGGGCGTCACGTGGCCCGACACGTAGCCATAAGGCCCGAGAGCGCGTGCGCGCGTCGAGTCCGGTGTCCACGCCCCTTCCGAGGGTCGCTCCGCCCCTGCCGGGGCCCCGCGAGCGGAGGGGGAGGGGCGGGCCTGCCGCGCGCCTGCGTGGGGCGGGCCGGCGCCTGGGCGGAGGTGCGCGGGGGGAGGGGGAGGGCTGTCCGGGCCGTCGGACCCCGGGGGGCTGCTGGGTGGGGGCGGGGGGCTGCGGAATCTTGGCCCCCTCCCCCCCCGGAGGCGGGTCCTTCCCCGCAGAACGGACTCCGGGTGGGCCACTGCCGCTGTGCCGGTGGCCCCGCGCGACGCCCCCCGCCCCCCGCGGTCTCCCCCGGCCTCGAGAGCCACGCGGCGGCGAGGAGCCCGGGGAGCGGTGGGTCCCGCGCGGTGCCGTCCCAGGGGCGGGGCCGCCTCCGGGGACGGGGTCCGCCTGGGTGCGGCTGCGTGCCTCCGGGGCCCGCTTCAGTTCGGGGGAGCGGGCCGCGCGCCGCGGGCGGCGTTGCGCTTCGTGGCGGCGTCGGCGTCCAGGAGCGACATGCTGCCGCGGTGCTTGCAACAGAGATCACGCACCTAGTTCGGAAGGGGGATGTCACCGTGTCTGCCACCTTGTAAACAATAAGGGTCCTGCGGGCGAGAGGGTTTTCCATGCAGAATGATGGGATTTCCAGCCTTGAGGTCTGTTTGGGGAAAAATGTTCTCAGCTGCAACAACGTGGTTCTCTTTGGTTTGTGGAACGTTGTCACTCAGAAAATCCGCTTCTGCGTTTTCCTGCGAGCTTATTATGACGAGTTCAATTAGCGTAGACAAAATTTGACATCAGACTGACGGTGTTGAGAGCGACAGGTGGCTGAAGTCTGCGAACCCTTCTGCTGTTTTAACTGGAAAGAACTTAGGTGGGGTTTTGTGGCAAAATTTTGCTTCATACAAATTCCGAAGAACGCTTTTGGTTTGACTTGTATGCAAACTAGCTGAATTTCAAACACATTCTCTTTGAGTAGCGAGTAGCTTCTGTCCTCATTTAAAGAATGTTGTTTCTAAAATTAAGCTACTTTGGTAGAGGAAATGGAATTGCCCTGCAGACAAAGTTATAAAGGTTTAAGTCTAGAATATTTCAAATTCTCCAACTTCCATTGCTGTTAATAGAGCCATAAAATATTCACTTACTCAATTATCATTTAAAGGATGGATTTTATAAATGCAGGAAACTAATTTAATCAAAAACGGTTGCCTCTTTAGAAACTAATGTATGCTTTTTCCGTATGTAGCAAAATGATAGGTATTTTAAAAGATACTAAGTTGTTCATTTAATTTGCTAGTGTAAAAGATTTTATCCCCCTTCTTAATCAGTTTGCTTATTAAGCTCCCAAGCCCTGTGCTAAATGCTTTACACGTATATCTCATTTAATCTTGAAGGCAACCTTGTAGTTTAGGTACTAAACTAAACTAGTTTAGGTACTATCCCTACTTTATATGTAAAGGGAAACCCAAGGAGAAGGAGGTTGAGTAACTTTTCCAAGACCTCACCCTGGAACTGGGATTCCATTCCATTCGTATTTTATCCTAAAGCCCAGGCTCCTTACCTTTTTACTGACCCTACGCAGTAAGTTAGGTTGAAACTTCTGACGCCATTCCACCATTTTTGACGGATAGACATGGCAATCTCCTATGACTCACCTGGTTCTTGGAATCTAGGTGAAGCAGATCGGAGTTAAAGAACAATAATCCGTATTCATTTCCCATTTATTTCATCCACTATGGTTTTAGCATTTGATACTACCTACTATATATTGCCTTTTCAAGTCTACATAGATCACTTCTCTGCTCCAGCTCTTGCATGTTTCCCATCTCAGATGAGAGACCCAAAGACCTTATCAGGGCCTTCAAGACCCCACATGCTCTGGCCCTTGCTGCCTCACTGGCTTTGTGCCTTCTCTTTCCCAAGCACACTGTGTTCTTCCCCTGGAATCCCTTACACTTCTTAAACAAGCCAAGCATGCTTTCTGCTCCAGGAGTTGGCACTTGGTGTTTCCCCTCTTTCATTTCCTACATATCAATAAGCCCCCACCTCCCAAGCTTTCTCAAGTCTTATCAGAGAAGGCTTACCTTACCACCCTCCATAGGATAGCACATACGTGTACACACACACACGCACACACACAGTATTCTGTTTGCCCCCTCCCGCCTTTTCATTCTTTTCACAGCATTTATTTCTATTTTTTTTAATGTTTATTTTTGAGAGAGAGAGAGAGAGAGTGTGAGCAGGAATGGGGTAGAGAGAGAGGGAGACAGAATCTGAAGCAGCTCCAGGCTCCGAGCTGTCAGCACAGAGACCGACGTGGGGCTTGAACTCAGAAATCATGAGATCATGACCTGAGCCGAAGTTGGATGCTTAGCCAACTGAGGCACCCAGCTGCCCCTCCTAGCATTTATTTCTACCTGACACGTTCTAGCTTTGGGTAAATTTAGTTCTCGCCTCCCCCTACGCTGTAAACACCATGAGAGCAAGGGCTTTATTTTGTCGTATATGGAATTCCCAACACCTGAAACAGCACACGGGACACATAGGCAGTCATTAAAAATACATTAAAAAATACATATATATATGTATATATATATCCAAAAAAGTATTAAGTAGCTGTCACACACCAGAAACTATGTAAACCCTTTACCTATGTTGTCCTTTTATTTTTTTTAATGTTTTTTAATGTTTATTTATTTTTGAGACAGGGAGAGAGACAGAGAGTGTGAGTGGGCAAGGGGCAGAGAGAGAGAGGAAGACACAATCGGAAGCAGGCTCCAGGCTCTGAGCAGTCAGCACAGAGCCCGACGCGGGGCTCGAACCCACGAACCATGAGATCATGACCTGAGCTGAAGTCGCACACTCAACTGACTGAGCCACCCAGGCGCCTTGTATATTGTCCTTTTAATCATGACAGCAAATATTTTAGGTAGGTGTGGTCGCCACAGTTCAGAGGAGAGAGATGGCCCGTGCTTAGGAGTAGTAAGGAGTTGGCCCCACACAGGCAGAACTGGGTCTGTGCAGGGTGATGTGTGCGGAGACAAGCGAGCTATGTCCAGGCCTCCACTGTACCCCTTCCTTTTCTCCCTCACGCTCCCGCCTCAGACCTTTTACGTCTATATTTCCCCTTTAATTACCTAACATAATAACAAGTGTTATACAGGAAGTGAAGGCAAACATCATTTGCCTTCAAGAAGCTTAAAAATCTAAAAGTTACCGTGGAAAGACTCTTTAATCACATTATTACAAAAACACCATCTTCCCAGCATTCACAAGTTACCATACCATCTACACATGCATGAGCTTCCTCTTGAGTTTCTTTGTAATAGCTTCTTCACTGCGGAAAACTATGTCATCTACTATGTTGACACTACAATGTTTCCACATCTAACATCAGTAGTGAATCATGAGTGGAAATAAATTTTCTGTATTCTAAAATTTGATTGGCTCTATTTGCTTATAGCTATTCTTGACATTTGCAATAGAAAATTTGAGTATTCCAAATATTTTTATTTCTTACATCATCTTGGAGTTCCTTAAAATGATTTTAGGACCTAAGAATCCAGTCTTTAATGGTCTTTTGTCCCAAATGCTTTATTATTATTTTTTTTAATCTTAATCCTTAAACCTTCCTACAAGGGAAGGTTTCCTACATGAGGCTTTCCTATAATCTTTCGTTTGTTTATTGTCTTAATTATGTTTGTTCATTGTCCTAGTAGATTTCTCTAGTATCCTTTTCAATTGTGACATGGCTTATCTGGTACCATTTAAAAGGTTGAAAATGACACATTTTAAGTGTGAATATTTTTTTTTAAGTTTTTATTTATTCTGATAGAGTGCGCGCACGAGAGAGAGAGAGAGAGAGAGAGTCTGCCCACACACGTGCATGAATGGGGGGGGCGGGCAGAGAGTGAGGGAGACAGAGGATCTCAAGCAGGCTCCACGCTCTCGGTGCAAAGCCCAATGCAGGGCTAGGTCCCAGGAGCCTTGATACCATTACCTGAACAGAAACCAAGAGTGGGACGCTCAACCGACTGAGCCACCCAGACACCCCAATAAGTGTGAGTATCTTAATCAACAAAGATGGGAGTACCTATTATATTTAAACACCTGTCATTAACCCTGACGCTAAGCTGGGAGGTAATATCACAGACCTATGAAAAGTTTACTAATAAAAGCAAGTGTTCAGGACCAAATGCCATAGGAATGGAATGGGCTCTTACCGGAAGCCAGAGCTACACTGTCCTGGGTGGTGGGTT